TCGCCCTGATGATGGAGGCAGTATGACCTCTGAAACGTTGGTTAACATCGACCAGACTACACAGCGCAACAACCCAGAAGACAGAAATCTACATCGCCCTGATGATGGAGGCAGTATGACCTCTGAAACGTTGGTAAACATCGACCATACTACACAGCGCAACAACCCAGAAGACAGAAATCTAGTTAGAAAACTTGGTCCCGACCAGTCTCCGTGGCGAGATCTGAAATTGGACCTCCCGAACATGAATAAACACTATTAAGTTCGAACATAACACCAATGGGATGAACAGCAGGCCAGAGGTATGACATCACCACACACATTCATGCTAATTAACACACAGGGCATCGTTGCAAACACATGCTTTATGAAGAGTCTCGCACCAACTGCATGGTTGCAGTCAGATCGCTGCTAATGGTGGAAAGGGAATTGTAAAGACTTCCGACAGAAACACGGAACACTTGCAGCATAGTAACTCAATGCTCTGCAGCTACACACGTGTTGAGGCGATGGGGCGAAGACCACAAAGCGATAGCACATATTGGAGAGATAACCAGTCCGTCCTTCTACACTATAGATGTGAAATTACTACGTTTTAACTGTACAAGTAGCACGTGTGGGCTTTCACAACCCCCTTGCTTCAGAAAACACAGTACAGTGTAAAAATCGACTTGAAAATGTCATCGATTGTGTCGAAATTAAAGGGTAAAAATGTGTGTTCAGTATCACCGTACATGCTCTGACAAACACGTTAATATTCCTTTAACCTCATCAGTGACGTAGCTGAAGCTCGAATCTACTTTGCGGCAACTGTACTAAAGACTGATACAGTGTAGCTCGTTTTGAAATGGAATGTATCGGCTTCAATTCAAGTTCTTATTTCGTTACTGGGGCATATTCCTCCTCCTCCATGGACGATAATTCGTAGGGAGAGACTGAACAGAATCACAAATGGCTTTAATCATGATATTTGGTAATCCAAACGAGATATAAACCCAGTAACGCAAGAACATAACAAAATTTACACCGAGAGCCACTGTTATCTTGCATTCATGACGACTGGAATCCTAACCTTTATTTAATTAGCATTTATCCTTAACGAGGTTTGTAGTGATTTTCTTCAGTTTATCCTGGTCAATGCTGTGGAAGTTTCTAAAAGTAAACCACGGTCACGTATTTAAAAATTCCCCGGTTTATCGTTCATAAGCGTGATCACACACACGATGCCATAAAACCTAACGAGTCGATCAGACGTCATGAAATAAAACTTGTAAAATATAAACTGGTGATTAAATGAGAGGACCTTCGAAAATAACGACTGTTTAAAAAAAATTTCGTCTTAAAACGACTTGGGAATGTTCATCAACAAATTTCAGTACAAATTAATCTGCGACACACAAATAGCTCGATGAGGGTAAGTCTGAAATGAAACAGGCAAATATACGTCACATGACTGACGCTTCGAATCTTTACACAGTGCAATATTACGGAGGGATACATCATAATTTAAAGAAGTGTAATTACTTCCTAGTCGGCATTTCAAGAAACGCGATATCCTCAACTGAGAAATGGTGGAACAGTCTCTGTCTTACACCAATTAGAGGCAGTTTCAGCGGCTACAATTTAAACTTGTATTTCCTAGCAGAGATGATTAACGCCTCCCGCATTCACATACAGACTGTCACAAAAGCTGTATACACAGCAGCAACTTTACTGGACTAGCTAATTCACAAATACTGACGTATCCAAACGGTGTAGATTAACAAAATATTTATTTTATTCAATGAATGTGTTCGTATCGTTTCGGAACACATTCACTTGCTATCTAGAATTAAAATTGTGGGTGCTAGAGAACGAATATTCCGATTTTCACCAAAATTATTTACTTGAGACCATAAAGAGAAAATTCTAATGCCGAGAACTCCGGGGAAAGTCCTCAGTTCGAAGACCGGTGAAAATTTGACCTATACTTAAAAAAAAATTAAGCACGTCATAAGAACGACTCCAAGACTAAAGTTATCTACACCAAAGATAAGATAATAGGACAAATGTTATAACCTCTTAAGCATGTTTTTAGTTCAGATCCAGATAAATATGGTTTCTGCAACTGTGCGCGATACAAGAAAGGAATCAATAACAAAATTGTTCGTTTCAGAAAAGAGACTACGGAAACAAGGGCTACGAAACCCAGAAATGTCGCGGATTCGAATCCCTGTGAGGATACCACAGTTAGAAAATGGCTTTACCTTCAGGAAAAAAGTCACCCTGGATAGGAGACTTGGTGAGCCGAAGGGTAGACCAAGGTTTATGTAAATACATGAAGACGTAATTCTTACCTCCATCAGGAACATCAACTGGTTAATGTTGGTTAGCGGCGCCATTGCTCATCATTCTGAAAATCACGTGAAATTCACAATTAAACTCTGCAAGCAAAATTAAAAGACGCTTAATGGTACAACGGGTGGTACATGAAGTTACCACCGTGGTTCAAACGGGCAAGGAAAAGACAATGTACATTATCATCAAAGAATTTATTTTGAAGTTGAGAATACAGTGGTATTTATAGTGGATATGACACTGTTTTCTTTTAAAGAAATATTTCCTTACTACATGGAGCGACGACCCAGGAGGCAGCCATCTTCACTGGAGGTTACTTATTGATCGAAAAGTAGATCTCTTTTACTCGTTTTATTTTTTAAAAAAAAATTTGCAAGTTAAATTTTATCCTAATGTAATGTACAGAGTACCTAAATCCTTTGCGTATTTTAAATAATCTATATAAAAACAGCAAAGCAGCCAGAGCGCACTCATGCGATGATGTGTTCTCCGTTCTATTAATGGCTTTGCTATTCTGCAGACTCAGTGACCAGAAAACCAAGGCCATTTTTTTTGTTTAAGTACACTCTGCGGCTCGCTAGGTTAAACTTGGTTACTTTGTGGGACTAAAACGCGTTTACAGTTACTACATTACACTTTTACGTCCGCTGGTTCATTTCGTGAGCGGACTCTTGTTACACTCCACAATTATTACAACCAAACACAATATTCACATACAACTTAGCAGCGAGACTTCTGGTGTGACCCGTATGCATGTCTGTTATGACCACTCGAAGGCTAGAGCCGAATGGCGGTGTTAAGGGAAGCCTCCTCTTTCCACACCCCTTGTACTGGTTATCCAAATAATATATTACAAAATTATATCCGGGCGTCAATGGCTGTATTCTGGGGTATCACTCCATGTGGTCTTATAGAATCGTTACCAACTTTTTGAAGAGAAACACATCGTCTCAATCTGCAAACCTGAGAAATAAGGACGTACGTTCCTCCAAAATGTTGGTGACCACCTACAATAAAACAAGGTGTCACAGCTCAAAAGACCACAATCGACGTGAGAATCTCAAATCAGAGATGGCGTCGTCCTGATGACCATCGATCTAGCAGCGGCAGAAGACTTCGGTTCACGCAAGCTGGAAGCTCCAACTACCGTCGATATCTGTGCTCCTAACGACCTGTAACATTACCTGACCGGCTGACTGACCCCTACAGATATATAGAAAACCTAAGCCGTTAACAACTTGTCACTACTACCTCGTTTTCGGAACTTATCGGGTTCAATATGACCCCCGAGACCAAGAATTCTCTTGGTTTGGATTCCACGTCTTTATGACCTATTCCATCGTTACGTGTTTTTTTTTTATGTACAGACTGAAAACCTAGTGCACGAAAATGCTGATCACTTCTAGGATTTTCGACGTTTCATCAAACTGCCGGTCTTTTCAAACTCTTCTTTTCTTGTTCCAGGCAGTCTGTAAGTTCAAGATCTGCCATCCTGCATTCTGTCAACACGGAAAATCCATTTTTGTCGGTAATCCTAACTGTGGTCACAGCAGAATTCGCCTTTAAGGTATACCAACCATTTCAGTTCGTTCTGTATTTTTTTTTTACAATATTTGTTCTAGAATCCGTCTTGGGAATTTAATCTCAGAACTCTCTGACCATAAAAATCTCAGGTTTTAATACCACACATGAAGAAAGTGTAGAACTGACGTGTTGTAGATTCACATTCTCGCATTTTCTGAAATATATCAATGGTCTAAATGCGATATTAAGAATATAGTTTTTCAGACATTCACGTATCCTTCATATTTCTTTTTAATGTTTTCATACGTCAAAAAACATGGGAACTGTTCCGTTTAATTTATTTATCATGAATTCCATTCGTGTTAATGGATAAAATAAAATCTGACATTAATTAACATCACAACAAATAAATAAATTGTATGGTTCTTATTTTCCGTTGTTGTTGTTGTTGAAGACGACATCTCAAGGAAGCATTACGCAATGCTTCTCAACGTTCAATGCAATTGTTAAATCTTCCCCACACAAAATATTATTAAGGAAAGAACCAACAACGATCCATTGCCTTGCCAAACAATAGTCTCACAGACTTCCAGAACAAAGCCAGGTAATGAAATAACACAACATCTACTGACGTGAAATGAGAACAGCAGAACACACACAAAAAAGTACACATGCACGAGTGTGTACTACAGATGACATGCCTTGCCGTTATAACACACATGTATAAAATTAGCAATAGCCAAGTGAATCGTTAAGGTCGCTTACGTAATTGTTTGCACGGACGTTTTATACTAATCAGCACTTCATCACATATTATATAATAATTCTGAAGCTTTCGCGTGCCACGCTATTTAAAAAAACCCGTTACGTTGAATCTGAAACCAGAGGCGTAGAAAGTTAGCGTCAACGAAGAACATGCAAAGGAAAAGACGTAATTATAATAAATCAGAAGAGTTTAGACACATCTCTTTAAACAACAGTGGTAACTATACGTACCACATGCTTTAAAATTCAATAACTCGGAGTTTTATTTATAAATTTGTATTTAAAATTATATTAAATTATAAATTTTATTTATAAATTTAATATGAATATCACAGAAGGTTAGCCACGGTGGTCTAGCGGTTAGAACGCTGGCCTTGTAATCCTGGGGGTCTCGGTTTCGATTCCCGGCGGTGCCCGAATTTATAACTTGTGTTGGGCAAGGCCGTGGTCTAGGCAACACGGAGTTTTCCTCCGGGGGCTTCCCCGGTTTCTCCGTGGCATCCCAACACACACAGAAGAAGGCAATGGCAAACCACTTCTGGATCATCTGCCAAGAACGTATATGAACAGGTCCCAGTCGGAGAAAAGGATGGAAGGATCCTGTTCATATGGACCTGTCTTCAGACAGAACACTAAATAAAATATAAATAAAAATCACAGAAGGCGTAACCCGTGATTATCTATCTAAATAGCATTAATAAACTGATCTTAGTAATGGGAACACGTTGTGTTTTCTTTGCGGTAAGAAATAAGAGTTTAAATATTATTTACGTGAACTTCGGGTTTCAAAGGATTAAACGCTGCATTACATTAGACGAAAACAGGCCTCGGGGAATAAATAAACACACAATCACTGCCAAATGAAACAGATGAACACGGCTTAACCATTTGGATAGAATTTCAGATTAAAGGTGCTTAAACGGATTCTACAGTATGAAACGAAAGACTACCCAGACTAAGGAAAATCTTGGAAAAGTTGGATTGAGTGTGTGAAGTCTATAAATAAAGGAGTATCAGCACAATCTTCGACATAACTGAACGCGTTACGAAGAGCGCAGAAATAAATAAATTAAGGAGCAAAAGTATTGAGAGAACACGCGCCAAATGAATCCACAGAGTACCAACTGGACGACACTGAATTAATAGAAGAATGGAACGCAGACAGGCATTTTAAGGGGTTAGGTTGACCGCAATGAGAAATATTTACTACAAAAAATATAATAGTACTGGTAACTTACTGGAAAGGAAAAATCCCAAGATCAAGGAAAGCAGTGACGATTCATTAATAGTTGCACACATGTGGTTTGTTTCTGTATAAGCTCGAGTTGCGGTACAATTCACATACGCACAAGTGACCTATGCCAATGTTTGCGTAGTGCAATATCATGCAAATTGACACACTGGCAACATAATACGGAGTGGGGGAGGATACCGCTACAAACACTACAAATGACGCCTAATGAATCTTGCTGAATCAATCACATCTCAGTGTCACCTCAACATCTCGACATCAACAGGCCATTCAGATGTCGCTGTTGCTGTTCTTGTCTGTGTCCGGTAAGCTGTGACAAGCGGATGTGGTTTTCGTCGTTGTCGTAAGATTTTAACCGAGAATTAAATTTGTCGACGGACGTAATATCCCCCCCCTCCAAAAAAAATAAACGAAATTACATTTAAGATGGCTGTCTTCTGGGTTGTTACGATGATCATCGCCCTGATGATGGAGGCAGCAAGGACCTCTGAAACTTCAGTAAACTTAGACAGCCATCTTCAATTTTTAGTCATCTGTAAGCGCAACCAAACATTTATAAACTTTATACAATTAAGATATTTATGATTACATTTTATTTGTAGTGTCCTGTCTGACGACAGGTCCATATATTATGAACAGGATCCTTCCAACCTCTTCAGGTTGTCAGGGACCTGCTCATACATATATACGTTCTTGGCAGAGATGATCCAGAAGTGGTTTGCCATTGCCTTCTTCTGTGTGTGAATGGAGTAATTGTTGGGATGCCACGGAGAAACCGGGGAAGCTCCCGTAGGAAAACTCCGTGATGCCTAGACCACGGCACTGCCCAATACAAGTTATAAATTTGAGCACCACCGGGAATTGAACCCGGGACCCCAGGCTTACAAGGCTAGTGTTCTGACCACTAGACCACCGTGGCGGTATGATTACATACAAATAAATATATTTCACGGTCAAGATGTATCTTTGCTTATGATTTTCATGCCTGAACAAAAGTATCTTCCTTTTAACGCGAAACAAGATACGTACTAAAACTCTACGTTACGACAAGAGGATTCAGGACTGACATATTCTAATTAAGATCCTGTCAGGACGCTCCGAGTTAAACAATTTAGTTACTGTTTCAAGTGTTTCGGGACTCTCTTA